TTGGTACCCCGTCGCTGGGGTTGTGGCTCCGTATCTAAAGCCAACAGCAGCACCACCATCTCCCATGGCACTACTATAATCTTGGTTGTGAGCAGAGGCTACTCTCACCTCTTGGGGGACAAAGCCCCCTGCTTCGCCGCTGTGTCGCCCTGACGGGCCAGACTCTCGACCAGGTTCGCGCAGGTACCTCCCGTCCTGCGCACTCCCGGTCCCCGGTACCCCTCCTTCGGCGTTCGTGGACTCCGCGGCGGCGCTCTCCCGAGCATCGCCGCGATCAGCGGCACCCTCCATGGTGCCAGCTGGCTCCTCCTTGCTTGTCTTCATGGTATCTTCCACTAGCGACATTAGCTGGCTCATCTGACCCGTCAGCGAGCTAACTTGCGTCCTCAGGGCCACGAGCTCTTCTCTTCACCTCTTTCTGTCTTCCGCCGCAGAGTCGCTGGAGGAGTAACCTCCATCTTTGCGACCTGACATTCCTAATGGACTCTCCCTCGAGTGGCTGACACTAGTGTGTTCGTATGTCCTTTACGTGGAAAGGGAATACGTTTTATCTCTTGTACTAGACACGCAAGGGGGGTAGGGAGAAGTGAAGCCCTCTTTGGAGTTCGACGGGTCCCCGCACATGCAACTATTTCAAGGTGTACATATGCCCCATCTGCGTGCCCTCTGTTGTTGCCGGTAGAGCTAACCAGTCCGTATCTATACCCACACGAACAAGACTGTCGCCTAGCAGCAGTCACTTTCTGCTCTGCGTGCGAGCGTTTCGAACATGAACAGCATTTGCCTAGAAAAGCAACGTCGTGCGCTCAAGACAGGTTACGTTGTGTCCTCCCCATTTTGTGTTGTCTCCCGCCATACAAAAGAAAGTCAAGTACCTGACCCATGACAACACCGACCTGTGACATATGTCGCCGGGAGGTTGTAGAGCGCGCGTGTAAAGGCCTCATGGACTGCGGGGCTGCGGAGAATTTAGTTCTTATTTCGTCGCTTGCGCGGGATTCTTTATTTAGGTGTTTGGCCTCAATGGGGGGAAACGTGAGAGCCACCGATGTCGTTTGGGAAATTTCTTGGGGCACCCCCAATGATATTCCACTCAAGCTCGCCGCTTTCGGAGCGCACCTCGCGGAACCCCTTAAGCCAGTGGGAATTCCCAGCTCATTTTTGTGCAGAGATGCCCCGGCAGACAGGGAGCACTGCTGCTATGGTCCCGTGTTGTCTTGTTTGAGGTTGCGGCCACAGAGGTAGACCACCCTGATTTGGGATGACCACGGGGCGGTGGGAGCAAAGATGTTATGGCACTAGAGCGTAAGATTTCAACGTTGCTTGATTGAATTTGGACGATAGGTAGCGTACGTAGAAGATTTGTGTTGTGTTCTCCACAGGTTGTCAACAGTTTCCTTACAAAACAACAGATTGGAAAAAATTATATGGATATGAGGAATTGATATATTGTGACGCGTTCGGGCCATATCACGTAAATGTTTTCCTTCTTGCGCCAAATGGGCTGGGGGGGGGTCGTCGCCCCCCTCGGGGTACCTACAGAGCGTTTTGTACACGTTCGGGAATGGCTTTGGGGTACCTACAGTGTTCATGTACCTGGCTTGGGTCTTGGAATATGCCTAGCGTAGTTTATCTACACTTTCGGGGGAGGCACACGCATGAAAGTTCGTCTCGTCGATGGCAATAAAGTCAAAGTTTACGAAACGCACGTTGGACAGGTTGCCTACACGGGGCTGCTGCAGATGTTCCCGACGCCACGGTCGGTTTGCGTGCTCGTGTGCAACGCGGGGGAGTTGGGCAGCAGCTAGGTATTATAGTGAGAAATATGATCATGCTGAGGAAGACTGCCGCAAGCTGGAAGAACTACTTGCAAGCGTATGCAATTGGCTGCGATCGATCTCTCGAAGTGTTCCACACAACGAGGTCATCCTGGTCGCCACCAAGTGTGACCTGGCGGGCGGAAATGCTGGGGAGATTGGCCTACGAATGGAGCATGCTTGTCGGGTATGGCTCTCGAGCTGGATCCGCCATGGTATGCAGCCCGTGCAGGTGGAGACCGGCGTTTCCTTCACGAGCTGCTGCGTGACAGCAGGAGTCGATGAGAATGGCGAGAGTAGCACTGGGAACCACGTCTCTAAGGCGGGTTGGGGCGTGCGACTGGCGAAGCGTAGCTGACGACAACCCCTCGCCCAGCTTGCTTGACAGGCTCGTCCACAAGTCTGACCGACGTGGCCTACGAGGAGCTCAGATGGGTCTTCCTCGCAGCTGGGATGTGGCCCTCACTGTTGTAGAAGCTCTCGAGCATGGACGGTGAGCTTCGGGTTGACGCTAGAGCTCTACGTTTATGGCAGATTCGTGGGTCAAACCTGGGTTGGTTCCAGGCTCGAAGCTCGCCTCTCATCCCAAGGATAGGCGGGGAGATGCGAGCCCTCATCCAGTAGAGACCTTCGCGAAACCCTAACCATAGACGAAAGCAGAGCGCTGTTTAGGGGTTAGCGACGCTTGTGATAGTTTTTCAATTTGCTTGTCGTGGAGACACAACCCTTCCAGCTCTCCATTGATGGAGAGGCGCCTGGGCACCACAACGCCTAAACTTGTACAATCCAAGACTAGTCTAGGGTGCCCAGTTACTTCGTGGAAGAAACTACTCAGCAACTAGACCGTCTGTGACCGACTGCAAAGACGGCCAAGAACACAGCAGTGTGGAGCATGCGTGGTGATGTGGGTATGTATTGGAGGTTACCAGGCCCCAACGATGGGTACATACGACTAATGCAGCCCAGCAACCTCGTTGTGGATGTCGTCGGATCATGCCTATTTTGATAATTCAGGACCTCCTCTTGTGCACCCGGACGAAATACCGTTGTCACAGCCTTTTGATGTATACACACACCCCGCGAGAATTCGCCACTCACGGAAACGTCAAGTTCCTCAAGTACGCCTACCTTTCTTCGAGCGAAATGTCAGGTATGGTATGGCAATCAAACCAATCACAGCAACATCAATGTCCTACTCGGAAATCAGGTCGAGCGCATAACGATATGACTATCAATTGACACGGGGGAAAATTCTGCATCACCAGTGACGTATTCCCCCCGGCGCGCACGCCGTCGAATTCATATTTTGGATTCTAGGGCCTACGATACATGTTCATTTCGTTGGCAAGGTGCTCGCGGTCGAACTCTTGGTTGCGTTGGTGTCTGCCTTTAACTGCACTTTATGTGGCATCTCATACTCCAGGGGTATGACTGAAGTCTTCCAACACTGGTATGCGACAAATGCCAACCACCTACAGTATTCGTTCTGGAAAAATGAGTGATGTTTGACCATGGTGTGTTTTAGGCGTTCTCTGGCCGGAGATCCGTGGTAATGCGTATGTCGCCCCACCCTGATAGCGGCGACGCGACGGAAACGGCAGGAAACAGGACAAACGTGTATCAGGGGATCACAATACACCGGTCGCCCCGGTGGTCTAGACTAGTGGGTAACCTCGCAGCCTGCTAAGGGCCAGGTCATGGGTTCGAGTCCCGGCAGTGTGAGTTTTTTCTCACAATAATAGTCAAAAAAACATGGGTCCCACGTGTGTCAGGAACTTTGACACGAGCACTAAATTTTGACACGAGACCAGAAGTTTGACACGAGACGTCAGAATTTCGACACGAGAGGTTACGGCGCACTTTTTCATGTCAGAATCACAGGTCAGAATTTTTCGAAAACGTGGTCAAAATATTTTCACGTATTTTGACACGAGAAAACGACAAATTGACACGAGCGCCATCGCACACACACGAAGGCATCAACTCAGTCGGCAAGCTCGCACGCAGCTTCCCGCACACCCACACACTTGAACACAACGCTCCCGGGAGTACATCGCGTTAGGGGAACGTCAAGCCGCGGTTAGGCTCGTGTGCGTTCATCGCGGGATCGAGAACAAAACACGACGAGGTTGGTCTGTCTGGACTCTGGACTCGAAGCACACGGGAGATAACCACAACAGCAGCTAGTCGGGTGCCCCGCCCGTGACGGGAGAGGTTACAGCAGCTGTTTGTGGAAGAGACGGTAGCTCTGGGCGCACGTACTAGGGGCGCGAAGCCGCTGGCGGCGGTTGGGATTCGGGGCGTGTAGTTCGCGGAGTGTAGTTCTCGGGAGACGAGAGGAAACATGTCTCCAGCTTTGCTACGCCAAACATGGCCATCACGAGGACATGTCATCCTCTCCAGCTAGCGCGCACAACACAGCAAGCAGTAGAACCTGTATGCACTCATCATACCACTCGTAGCGGATTCTACCTCGCGCAAGGCGCGCCATCTCCTCGCTTCGTGTCGGGTGCGGTGATGAGGGAGCGCGACCGTTGGGTTTCCCGGCGGTGCAGCGGTGCAGTGGGGGTTGAATTTGTTTTTACTTGAGGCTGCTGCTGACCTTCGCCAGGCAACGTGCGGCGGAACATTTTTTCGAGTCAATTTACCAACCGTTACCTTTGTTCGTGTCAATTTGCCAACCGTCACTTTTCTTGGCGTCAACCTATCTCAGTCCAAAATTTTTCGTGTCAACCCAGGAAATCCTGGTCTAGGATGAAAGCGACGCGCTGCAAAGCCCGTTGTTAGTAGACTAGTCTAAACCATAATCGACTTCGTAAGTCGCGAGGGAAGGGATTGCTGTACCCTTCTCGTGATAAAAATACCTCAGGCAGGAACCGCAGGAGGGGGTCCAACCCCCCCCTCCTATGTGACCCCGGTTGGGTCGTCTAGCTAGTAGAAGTGGAGGATAGGGGCCAGAGGGGCAGACGACAGAGTCCAATGATGGGAGAAAAAACAAACAAAAGTGGAGTAGGTTGGCACCAAATGGCAGAAAACAGTTGATAAGCTTGAGAGGAGAGGGATCACTGTCACAAATGCCAAGAATCCTTTGAAGGGAGCTCTCTCCATCAGGTACAAAGTTTAAATCGCATTCCAACGTGGAGAGCAGCGTTGTCGCCACATGCTGAGGCCCACTGGCAGTAGGCACCGTCGTCCGTAGCAAATTTCACGTCTGGTCTCGGGCGTTGAGTGATTTCGGGGGTATTGGTGAACAACAATCGTGGCCACACCGCCCTCCTCAAGCCGTGTCGGTTTTGCGAATTCCCCCGAAGCGGGTTTGCGGACTCGACCAATTGACTTCCCAAACTTGTAAACTCATGCATACAGGGAATTTGACGGATCTCTCGTTCGCCACGAGAAATTTGTCTTTCAGGGTGTCGTTTGCCCGGCGAGAATCCTCAAGCCCTTGCTCAACCACAAGGATCAAAGGACCTTCGACGGCCTTGTGAACCTAGGTGACATGGGCGACGTGCGTGTCACACCCGATGATTCATTAGACATCGCTTCGTGCGACAGGCTCAAGAACGAAGGCGTGTTTGAACCCAGGTTGGCGTTTGCCATGTGGTCAAACGGTCTGTCCGAGTATGTCCTCGCCACCCTTCCATCGTAGGGTCTCACTTTCCCACTCGAAAATGATCCTAATGGGGGTCTGGTAGTTCTGCTTAGACTAGAGCCATACCCCCTCGAGAGCGTGGGCACACTGATCGACACCTTCTGCGTGGAGCACCCCCCGGCATTCAGCGCGAGTTGGAAGATTTTTCTCGGTGTACCGCCTGACACGGTGCTGCGGTCTTGGTGGCGTCGGAACATGCTGGCGATACGGGGTGCTTGTCCATGGCGGCTTCGGCGTCCAAGATGAGCGCAGGACATTTGCTGTGGTCGTGGAATACTCGTCCACCGACCATGAGCTTACTGCTCAACTTTTGGGCGATATCAGCGCTCCAGCTTCGTGGATGGCATTGCCATTCGTCATGTCTGCCGTGAGCTTGATGCTGCTGGATTTTCCAGGACTGCGATGGAGCGGCTCTCTGAAGTGCCCTCAGCACGGTCACGCCATGCTCTTGGCTAACAAGGTAAACCCTCATCCACTTGTGTATTCTGGAGAACATGAGTGCTCCATCAGTGTAAGCGCGTTCTAGAATTGAGAGCAATCAAAATGAACACCAACTCCCAAGACTGGATTTCCCCACCAGGATATACGAACGACACCCCTTTGCTCTTGGTTGCTGGGGCTGGTGTTAGCCATTTGAATGTTGCAGAAGGTAACGATGCAGACGTGTGAGGCTCCATTCTATTTTGTTCTTGAGGGCTGCTCACTCGTGCACGTTGTAGGTTATGCTCGGTTGCAACATCAAACTGTTGTGTTTTGGCAGCTGCCATACCTGAAGTATGTTCCTTATCTTGCGTGCAGGGCACTAGTTACAGAAACTGTAGGTGTGGAACTAAAAAAGCCTCCGTTTCACTCAAAACTAGCGCCTACACATTAACAAGGAGCATGCGCTGCATCCATTGTTCAGGTGGCGCACGCAAGAGATAGATTTCTGGATGCAGATGCCCACATTGTAGTCCCGAAACCGGCGGGCTTGGGGCCGCGGCTATCGATCTGGTGCGCATGGTCGACATCGGCCTAGACCGAGGTAAGCATAACAAGTGGAGAGTTATTTGCCGGAATTGTGCACAAAGTGACGCTTCGATCATCTCCGACGTACGAGTCATTTTGACACCGCCGGTGGGATAACTACGACTTGTGCGATCGCCCAATCCCCTGTGGGGACACCCCGGTGAGATTGCTCCGATATGTGCTGTATTAAACGAATTGCACCAGGGACACTTACTTATTTTATTCATTCAACCGTGTGGTTTGTGTCCGACCTCTGCCGTGCTATACATGTGCAAGGGGACGTACTGGCACCACGTGCGCTATTAGAGAACCTGAAAATTTTTTACATGGACAACAGCGCAAAAGCAACATTGTACACGGATAAACACACAACCAGAACCCACGGCAGGTTAGCCCTGTGCCTGCCCTGGCGTGTGCAGCGAATGGTGACTGCCGAGGTTGACTGCGAGTTGGGTTGTAGCAGTGTGCGAAGAACGAAGAGTAACGCAGCTGTCCGCAATAGTTGATCCGTATTCTTTCCAGGTTTCGTTTTGGCTACAATAGGCCTTCAGTTGCGGCACCTGTTCTTTAACCGTGGGCTTCGATGAATGACCACCGTGCTGCCCCGCTGCAATGCATGCCGCAGAGGAGGCCTATGATTAAACTGCCAGACAACGTATGTGCCTGTTGAAATGTTCGGGGGTGCTGTGTGACTCCCACCGTGAATTTTCGCAAGACACATGCGATTTTCTACGAAGCGAAGGCGAGATTCGACCATCTGGAGAGTCAGTACTCATTGGCGTGTCGGACGGTGACAACAGTTTGCATGCCCTCAATTGCAATGACACGTGGGTTGTCAGCTTGTCCTCCCGAACTATCTGGTGCAATGATCCATTTTTTCCTCCTTGACATACTTCTACATAATACCGATTGATTTTACGTTGGCGACGAGCAAGATCAAGCCAATCTCTGGACTACAATATAATACGAGAATTCTGTACATCGCTCGGCATCGGCGTGATGATTCCCTACTGGTGCGCGGTTGCAGTCTTCCGCGGCTTGTCGTGTGTGTGGTGGGCAGGAGGCAATGCAAAGCACACGCAAGGAAGAGACATCATCTCATCTTGCCTCGCTCTTGCACTTCGCCCACGCTAGCGATAGTAACATGACTCTCTGTCGGCGCGGTGTATGGCATACCACCTACTTTCCTATAGTATGGGTAGGAGGGGCCCAACAGCGAAAAGGAGTGGCAAATGCTTCCTAGCGCCCCCGTGCACAACATGTTTCCGAGGGTTACATAGCGGTTACCATAGTCTATTTAGTCCACAAAACCACCACCTCGTGCCCACTCGCACTTGTTGACTAATTTAACTCTCCCTGCGTCTTGATTGTCACAGGTTAGACGCAAGGATGAGGATCAATTGATTCGAAGATCGATGGCGTGGCCACAGCTGTGAAGGGGGCGTTCAATGAGGTGAAGGTTGAGATGGACGGAGGACTCAACCAATTGAAGGTTGCGATGAAGGCGGGTTTCGCCGAGGTAGAAGGGGGATTCAACGAGATGAAGGTTGAGATGGAGGGAGGGTTCGATGACGCCAAGACCGAGTTGCGTGACTTGAAGGACGAGGTGGAGGGAGGGTTTGGCGGCACCGAGGCCGGATTGCGAGAAGTGAAGCAGGAGGTGAAGGACGGGTTCGGCACGATGACGGGAAGGCTGGGCAACGTGCTAGATGGCACCCAGGAAAGCCTCATGCGCCTCAAGAACTTGCAGGCCCCGAATTACCGGTACCCTCACCTTGTGGTCGTCAAGGAGGTTGGATCTGATGGTACTGCGTCCGAATCTCACGGGAAGAAGAGCATGCTGAGCAAGCTTCGTGGATTTGGAAAGAAGGACATGAGACTGCACTTCTTGTGCCCGGTTGACATGACAACGGCGCCGTGCTGCCCTGGTGGTAGCGACAATCGGCTATCGATTTCAGGAGACGCGTGGCTGGGTGAAGAAAATATCACCTGTGCTTCAGGTATGACCATAGTTTAGAAGGAGCCGGTCAGAATCGGTGACTCTACTTCTGGTGGGACTATTCACTTCTGGTTCACCCCTATGCTGGCTAGGGTCGTACTCCGAACGATCGCTTCCCTTACATTTCTACATACATGTGGTCAATCCCTTGACTGGGGTGATTCTCCAAATCACCATATTCTTTCCGTGGGGTACGTCTTTATGTTTTCGGCTTTTATTATCGGGGCTTGGTTGCTGGAGTACAGCGTCAGTGATGATGAGCTGCGGTGAATTTCTTGGTCGCCGTGAATTATTTGTGTTCTCTTCTCAGGTGGCCGTGGTGGCCGCGAAGATGGCGCTGAACGCAACGACAGGATTGAACGTGGATGTCTCTGATTTCCTCAAGGACGTCCGAAATGGGTTGGTCGAGGAGATAGTCGACCGCACTCTCGACGAGGAGGCGCTGCTTCGTGCTGTTTCTGGGGAGGACATCGTCGGCGCAGATTTGCAAAGGGATACGAGGGCCTCATACGAAGCCCTGAAGGTTTTCATGGACAATGAGGAACAAAGGAGGTGGAAGAATGCCCGGGGTGGTGATGGCTACATAGACTTCAGGGACGAGATGAATTGTGTAACCGACGGGAAGGGGGGATGGTGTGGGTGCGGAAGAAGAACGTTCAAAAGTGGCTGGAGTCGCATGCCCCACCGAACAGATAGCTGACGGGCTTTCAGGCGTGTGCAGCCTATACTCCTTAGCTCAGATGCATCTACTGTTTTTTTTTTTTTTATCCCATTATTGGACTCTGTCGTCTGCCCCTCTGGCCCCTATCCTCCACTTCTACCAGCTAGACGACCCAACCGGGGTCACATAGGAGGGGGGGGGGGGGGGATCCCCTCCTGCGGTTTCTGCCTGATAAATTGTTATCACGAGAAGGGTACAGCAATCCCTTCCCTCGCAACTTAGATTATGAAGTCGATCAAGTTTACTAACAACGCAGCGCGTCGCTTCCAACGGAGACCAGGATTTGGCAAGCGAGAAAAAACTCACTCTGTCGGGACTTGAACCCATGACCTGGTCCTTAGCAGGCTGCGAGGCTACCCACTAGACCACCGGGGCGATGTAGCCCGTTCGTTCTGCACACTTGTCGGATAACAGGATTCGGACAAGGACGCCACGGACAACATGTTGGAAGCAAGTGTTGCATAGACGTGTATGTAGTCAAAGAGATCTGGTGGAAGACCCAAATGGGTAGCGTGACCTTCTGTCATCAATTGAATGACGTTGGGTTTGGTGGACAGAAAGGCCTACCTCTCTCTTCCGCCAGTGCCTGCTTTTTCTACAGCAGCCCCCGTGTGATCTCGCACAGACCATGGTGTCCGCATTGTTTTTTGCATAGTTTCCTCCGTTCTTCGTCTTGTCGGGGCCTCCCCCTCGAACCCACCTGACCGCCCGAACTTGGTAGAGGCAGAATCGTCGAGATTGCAACGTACGTCGGCATTCAGGCACATCGAGCGGGCGGCGCGAGGATCGTGTGTCGTTCATGGGACCAGGGGCCCTCCTAGAGGCGGACCGTGCTTACAGATTGTGGTGGGCATCTTGCGAGGGATCGGCACAACATGAATCGTTGCACGACTGGTAGATGTTCAAAGAAAGAGCAGGAAAACTAAGGACCTGATTTCAGTGTAGAATGGTACTACTGCTGTAGCCCTACATGTAGACACTACATGGCACCAGGTGTCGGTCCATCCATGGACAGCGACCACACCTCTCTCGATACGTAGGGGTCTTGACTGTGCGCTTCAGCATCTTAACAAGTTTACACCGCTGTCTACCGTCAGTCTCCCCGACTATTCGGGGCGCGTGCGGCGATTCGACCATGGCAGATGGCCCTAACATTGAGTGTATTGTTGACGCTTGTGTCAGCTCGATTCGATCGTCCTGACTGACCATCCGGATTACAAAGAAACACTTCCTTTTGGTTATGAACGCCGGATTTGTCACGATCGTGTTGTGGCGTTTAATTGTGTAGACCTTGCATATCTCATCTTCTACGTTATACGTCATTTTCCACATGAAACAACCGGTACCCCGAAGCTCTCTTCCTTCTTCGAACGCACTGCAAGTTGTACAGCACCGCCGTAGGTCCCCGTCGACGCAAATAGTCTATTAACCAGGATGCGGAGGGATTCCAAAAATAGCGAAACATGTAGAATGTAGCAGCTGCACAGCAGCAGCATGTTGACGACCTCGATCACGGGGCACCCGCAATCAGCACGCCCTTCTACCTTTCGCCACGCTATGCACACATACTATGTAGAGAGCGGCGTGGCGGGAAAGAGTGTCGGCAACTTTGTTGCGAAACAGGACCAACTGCTGGAAACGCCCTTCGAGGGAGCTCGCAGACAGCAGCCTGCCATGTACCTAACGACGGGCGACCTCGATGAGGACCGGTCCGTGAGGACACGACACAACGCATGGATAACGACGACGGTTGTATCAAGGTCACGCTTTGACTTCCCGGACTGCCCTGCCAGCGCAATGAGGAACTTCGTGGGGTCTGTTGCTGGCGTGGCCTTACTGGTGGTATGTGCGAAAGGATTCGTGCTGCCGGGGGTGGTAATATCAAGGTCAGCAATATAGCATCCTTCTGCGTGAACGGGAGGCCGCTATGATTCATGAGTCAAATGCACGCCAGGCCAAAAACAGTGACACGCTGTATTTATGCGGCCAGACAATGAGCTGTGCTCGCTCTTGGGCAAACGTTGGTCGTAGTGTGCGGACGTCCTAGAGGGATTGGATCACTGGTGGTGCTCCCGTGCCTTGCATGATCGACTGGCAAACGCAACAATGACGCAGTATACCGCCCCCCCCTTGTGGCCTCGTCCCCCCTGACCGAAAGCGGCCCAAAAGGCTTCAGCGTGTCCCAAAAAGCTGGCGACAAGATATTTTCCAACACCACCATTGTACTCGCCCCTGCTTTTCCCCGTTCATACCGCATTCATTTGAGAAACAAACATCTTCTACTGTCGTGGTGCCTCCCACAGCTGTAGGGAATCGCCGCGAGCAGCGGATTAAATTAGATTGTATGACTACGGCGGGCAAGGACTACTTAAAGTAGTGGTCGTGACAGGTTGTGACGCGCGTCGCACCAAAATGGCTGTACGAGACACGGCTGTGGGCAAAGCCTAACCAAAAACAAGGCTCGGGTTCATCCTTCGTGCGCTCCCTGTTGGCAAATACAAAGAAAAAAGGTCATTGTTCTGAATTTCGCGTTTTGGAACAGTCCCGTGCGAAAGTAAAGACGACGGAATCCGACAGTTAAGAATTGATTCAGAGTACAATTTGGCATTCGATGCGCGGCCACGAACGTGAGCTAGGAGAGAATGATTCCGCCCACATACTCAAGTTGCATGTAGTCCTTGTAAGGGTCAAGGACACACATGGTTTCGGTTCAGATAGGAGTCCTTCACGCCGAGACAAGTAAATAGCCCTCTGAGTCAGGACACGATCGAAACCTGAAGTTGCACAGGATACATCACCCCATCGACCGACCTTTCAAGGCTCGACGACTCCACGACAAAGAGAATCCCAAAGTCGAATAAGACCATGTCGGAATATGCACTCGACGAGATGGCTCCCAGCGCCGCCATTTTCGGGACAGCCATGTCTTTGCTGCAGAGGTCTAAATGAGCTTTGGTAATCCGTCGAGAGCGTGTGGTATCTTTCGCATCCTCGCCATCCTAGTTTCATGCAGGGGTTCTACAGGTCGAAGGCATCATTTTCCAGGGGACGCTTATACCACGAAAGAGTATGTTCCCATTGGTGGGCGCACCTTTCATAATGCCAACGAGATATTTTGCTTTGTTCGGGTTTTCTGTACAGCAGCATCAGGAGTAGTTTCTGGTGCGGCGATTTCAACCTAACTTTTGCACGGCGGCTCCTGTCTGGTGTATGCAATCTACTTGTGTCGCCTAAAAAAACATTCGTTTGCCCCACACCAAAACATACCTGATAATGCAAAAAGAGCGGCGTATGATCCCCAAAACCCTCCATCACAATCGCACGGCTACGTGCAACTTCCTCCCACATCGCGCCGCGTGTAACTAAGTTTGGCGATGAACAAACGCATCAGTTCTTCAGATAAATATTCAACACAGCCGTCAATTGATTGTAGCAAAGTCAAGAACGCAAGCTTGTTGACTCGCGGGTAAGATTCATTGACTCCCCCCGATTGATGGCTTGCGCGCAAGAGTCCTTGACTTCAGGCAACGCTCTTTGCCGCTTCCTTAGTCTTACTCTTGCTCCCGGTGCATCAATGTTGACGTCATTGCTTGGGACTTGGACGTGTGCTCCTTCGCCTCGTTCACCAGATGCTCGGGGTGCACCTCAGCAGAAGGGAGCCGCGTTGACGCAAAGACCGGACCGAGATCCCCAAGAACGACAGCGTCCTCCTACGTCTGCAGTGGCGAACGACCTGGCACCACCAGCCTGTTCGCTAAGGCAACCTACAAGAACTTCGAGGATATGCTTGCGAAGGAGCCTGGCGCGCTCCTGGTCGACTTCTACGCAACGTGAGACCTGCTGTATAAAATCAACTTCCACGAGCATTGCGAGCAGAGTAGTGGCAGGGGCAGACACTTACGGGAACATCAATTTTGACGTCTCCAAAACATTGTTGTTGCTTTGCCATCAACCGTTGGCATTCGCGTCGTCCAGCAGGAACCTGGTACTGTATCTCTCTTTAGTTTTACCGAGGAGAGAGCGGTGTGTTCTTTCCTGACCTCGCTAGCGTGGTGCAGTACGTTGTAGAACTACCGCGGGCCTTCCAAGACGAAGTGGATGGATTGGGTGGGCGCCGGGGGCAATCCGGTGGGATTCGTACGTGGACGAAGTCTTACGTGCATGGACTGGACAACCGTCGTATGTGCGCTATATTTCGCTGAGGACCAGTTTGAGTATGGTCCCCGAGCGAACTTCCGGCTGATGTATGTTGCACCACACTTACACACGGCGGCGATGCACTACTGCCAACGTCGCCACCCGCGTGGGTACATCTCCATAGATGTACGCGCTTCCCTTGTTCCATGAACATTTATGCTGTCGCAGCTTGGGGCGTTTGTCGTGTTGCATGGATACCTGAGCTTTCGTTGTATATTCGTGCGCACGGCACGTACAACGTACCGCTGTTTTTCTGTGCATGGCATTCGGTCCATCTCTGACACAGCATCCGGCGCCATCAGCGATGTCTTCGTTGCATCCCGTCATCAATTCACAGCTTTTTCGAGTCCGCCAGTTGTAGCTCTATCTATGACCGTTAACGTTTATTTTTATTTGCGGTTGACGCTTGTGATGCAGGTGGTGCGGGCCTTGCAGCATGATGTCGGAAAACCTTGCCGTTGTCGGGCCGAAGATGAAGGACGAGCTCAAGATTTTTAAGGTGCACACGCAGTAGAAGTACACAAATTTTTTCAATCTGGGTCTGTAAAGTTGCTTCAAAGGCACTCAATAGGCGAGGGATGGCCTATCTTCCTTGAAAGTATATGGACTACTGAGTGCCCGACGCTTTTTTGATAATCATCAAATATTGGGATCAGTTCCGAAATGTCTCACAGCAATATGAGGCGTACTCGAGTTGCCATGGTCCTTATTGGACGTACGCAATAGCTCCACATTTAGACACACATGGAGAAATAAGGCCTTTAGTGGACATGCTCCGCCTCCCTCTCACGTATAGCCCCTTTTCATCTACTGTCTTCTCAACCCAGATTGACACGGACAAGTACCCGAATCTGATGAGCAAGTTCGGCGTGAACGGGCTGCCAACCCTGGTCCTCTTCAAGGAGGGCAAGGAGTTAACGCGGATGGAAGGCGTGATGCCCGCCGAAATGTTGATACAACAACTCCGATATTTCCTGGGTGGAGCGGCCGCTGCGGAGACGGAGGGGGCGGCAGCGGCTAGTGGCGACAGTGACCAGGGAGGGGACGCATGCACCCCACCTCCCCCGCCGCCGCCGTCACAAGACGCCTGTGCGCCCCCGCCGCGGGATGCGTGCCCCCCTCCTCCACAGAACTAAGAGCAGAATTAAGAGCTTCTCTCTTTGAACGCAGGGGTGTTGGTAGATCAAATTGTCCCGCGCGGGCTGCAACGGTGAGGGCGAAATGCGTTTTTTTTTTTTTGTCTTAAACTCGGAGATCGCTTTTGGGCAGAAGACGCTCTACGGGGTTATTTTGTTGCTAGCAGCGGGAGACTGCTTCAGTGCGTCGTGTTGATTTCCATTAAATACGGAGGGGGGGCAGCGAGAAGTGGGGCTCACAATTCACCATTCGCTGAATTTCACGTGCTCGTGAGCGGACATGGGACGATCGTGTGCGATGTCGATGGTCTGCGGGTATGGGTGTGAATGGGTGGGTGGGTGTTTCCTTTTTGCATCAACCGCGTCAACCGCCTGACCAATTGAAAGAAGTGCTTGTGTTTTGTGTGTTGCAGTCCCTTTCACTCTGGGCGTTAGATTTCATCCAATCAAACACGTTTGGAATACGCCACTGGGAAGCTGAGACAAAAGTTACAGCCAGAGGTGACTACAACACCATGGTGTCGAATTTGCGGCACGTTCACAACATGCGGTACTGGCAAGCCTACGTCTTCTTGAACTGATGCTTGAAAGTGTAGATAGATCATCAGCGACCGAGCTACTTGCAATTCCGCTGCTGAGCGAGACGGATCCATATTTGCTATGTAGCGCATATGTATAATTGCGAGTTACTTGCAAGACGGTGTATTTGTGGACGTCTTACGTATATGTACGGAAAAGACAGGCTACGACCTACACCTTATCCGAAGGGTTCCAAAACTGTACAACGGCAATACGTCCCGGCAGAGCCGTACGCCTCTGCAATGTTGCTTGGATGTCAAGGCATGGCTACATTGGAATGCCGTACCACTGCCGATCTTTTTTGCGATACCGAAAACCTGTGCCGGAGGCCGCCAACAGGAAAACGATACCCCACATGATTCCGACATAGACTGCCCCATCCACAACGCCCCAAATGACGACGCCGATTGCCCACACCATGCACCAAAGAATACCACCGACTACCTTGCCCACCACCGCCCACATGTTCGTGATATCTTGCTCGAAGCAACCAACGCCAACGATCTAGCCGGCCAGCACAGCCCCAGCGAGTCCGAACACGCCCGCCAAGCCCACGGACAATCCCAGGTCGCACCAGCCCCTTATCGAACTGCAGCTTTTCAGACCTATTTCTTCGCACTCCCAGTACGAGCTGGCGGAAATGTAAGCGAGGGGCGGGGAGGGGGGGTGCCGGCGTCAACAGCCTTGTAGACATCAGTTTCGATGAAACCCAACGGTTGAGGCGGCAGACGCTTCTTGAATGAACACGACACCACTACCTCTCAACCCCAGCCGCAGCAAGCCTCCCGAATGCAGGCGGCGAGAACGGCTGGAGTTCCAAGACCGAACACGCGCTACACACTGGCGATTTTTCCTTGACGCATGCGGCAAAGAATAGTCTAACTAGACTAAATAACGGCTAGAGACTGGGTGAGCTCCTCATGTATGTTTGCCCAGGTCCCTGAACGTTCTTCAGCGGGCAGATATTCGAGACACTCTGTTCATTGTACCCACAAGCGGAACGAAACACAAGCCGCGCACCCCTCCGCTCACCATACGTGATCACCGTTCCAGTAGCCACGCACTCGCACGTCACCACCTCGACTTCATCGCTAGCAGTCACGTTTCCGTTCCAAGCCTCGCAATAGTGTCCCGACTCGGCTTCACGCTGGCAATAGTACTCTTCGAACTCCTCCCTGCCCTCAGAGTCTATTTGCTTGCACGACCACGAGTCACAATACAGGCCAGAGGCAGTCTCGAGGTCGCACTGGCACAGGACGGAGTTGGTATTGGTGGACACGAAACAGCTGTCTCCGTCGGAGTTGCACTCCTCCACTTCTGCAACCTGGATGCAGATCCAAGCGGAGCAGTAGCCTTCGTTGTCGACAGATTTGCACTCGCATTAGCCCAGCTGGAAGGTGCCACCCGCGGACTCGTCCGCCCTCCACTCCATGCAAGCCGTAGCCTCACCGTCGGTAGAGTTGGCCATGGTGTCGGTCGGATAGAAAAACCCATCGGTTGCACACTCGTAGATCTCTCTGCTCACACCGTCCGCCTTAGGAATTCCTCCCAACCAAGTACTTTCCGTCTTCTGTGTAGTATCCCGCCAATACCTTCATGTCGGTGAAGGTCATCGGGTAATCCGGGAACTCTCCCCGCACGATACCCAAGAAACTCGACAGCACCAGAAAAACGAATGTGGAGCAAACAACTCCAGCCGCGCGTACCACCATGGTGGAAGTAAGGAATGAGGCGAGCGAGCGGACCTGGGGGGTAGACATGGAACGTGTCCACGAACATGTTCATGCAGGGTCAGTGCGGATCTTGCACCTTTTCTTCAGAACTGGGGAGACAGACGCCGAGGTGCGGGGAACAGATCGTACCATTTCTATTTGATGTAAGCGGTACCGGAAGTGGTCATTGTATGTCTTTAACTGTTCGTCTTCTCGTATTATCTGGCCGCAACGGCAGTATGTACAAAAGGGTGCGTGAATCAACAGATGTGAAACATGTTTTCCCAGAAGCCACGAGTTTACCAGCAGTTCAAGGGTAGGGGCCTGACCACTCGAATCAGGACGGAACAAGACGTCAGATATTCTGCATTGGTTGAGGTGTTCGTAGTCGTGCCCATAAACAGCAGTACTGCTATAGACTTCATTTAGTTGATCACCATCATCGCAGATTGCCATGTACGAAGTCCATGTTCAATACGGCATGGCCGCGGCAGCAACAAGAGCAGAAGCATCACCGCCATCTCCTTCGAGAAATCCTGTCGTGTCGGAGTTCAGCTTCTTGAAGGTCACACAGGGATGGCACTCCTTCGTTCCGATGAACTACACACTGTAGTCACTCGCTGCTGCTGGTATCATATTCATGGAGGTCGAAGACTCAAAAGCCACATACATTGATTGTCTAGTTCCTGCTACTGCACTTACTTTCGTTCGCATCCTGGTCAGACTTGAACCCTGCAGACGGTGTGTTGCTCTCCGACATTCCGACATGGAGTCTACCGTGAGGCCCGCCAATTCGACAATTCGAACAAGGTAAGCACTCCGAAGCACTGGAGGAGATGGATCTCCTCCAGTGCTTGTAAATAGTTTTTCCAATGGTCACACAGACAGGTGGCCAGTGGGGACGGTTGTACGGGGGCGTTGTGTAACCTCCGGCCATCAAGGGGTTAATACATGGGATAACGTGGGGGGGTTACAGGCCGAGCGGGCATAACGTGCCGGGTTATGAAAGCGGTTATGCGCGGATTGGTGTGAAGGAGGAGAAAAGAAAAAGTATGTGTGAGATTTCCCCTCCCTCCCATTGAATTCCACTCTTGTTCTACGTACGGTTGGGGTGATCAAGCGGTACATCGGCAGACAACTTTCCTCTCGTTCGAGATGATTAACGCAGGAAGATCACACAACGCGGGGGGTATCGAACCAGCAACAACGTGTATCTACAAAGGTCTGCCAGTACACCGCTACGCTATATGTTGAAGCATACTATACGTCTTACTACGCAAATTCCATGAATCAATAGTGATGGGGGCGGGGACATTAAATTGTGGCAACACCACCCACGCGGCCGATAAGAGCACACTCACTTACTCTGCCGTCCCTCCCACGCAAGAAGAAGCAGAAACTCCGAGTAATGTCTTCCATTACCAATCGTTCAATGGCGAGTTTTTGGTCATGCTAAATTTTTATGTTCCACAGCAGCAACAACATATAATATACGTAAAGAATTGTTGAATAATGCTGAGGGCGCAAGCAGTTCTTTCCAGTTGTTGTTGACTTCACATTAAACCGTATGCCAGTTGCTGAATGCCAAAATCTAGCAAAGACTCTCGGCCCGTGGTCACGAAAGTGCTGGAGCCATCTGAGGATCTAAAGAACACGCACACGTAGCAAGAAAAAGGTGTACAAGAGCCCGAAGAGGTACTACTACACCTATATATAATCCCTGCAGCACCGTACGCGTGCCCAAAACTGAACTACACGTCCGTCTCACCGTTCGACTACAGCAACATCACCCCCTACCTGTCCCACTCTGTACCAAAACGAATGATTGCCGACTACAGCATACTTGCTGTCT